CCACTGCACTCCAACCTGGGCGGCAGAGCGACACTCCATTTCAAAAAAAAAAAAAAAAAAAAGGCAGTGGATACTTCGATGATGGTTGCTGATGGACTGGTTGAGGGCAACTCTGGAATATTTTGAAGGGGGCTCTATTTGGGTAGGTGAGGACTTGTATATGTATTCCCAATGTGTCATGAAATTTTATGAATTAAAAAAAAATTTTCATGAATTTTGACTCAAGACACCAAAGGCTCTGGCATCTAGAATTATACAGTACTAGTTTTTCGTCAATTATTAATATAAAGGAAATCACTGCATCTAGATAAACTAGGTAGATTTAAATACAGCTCTAACGCTTTATCTGGTTGGTGGAATCAGTGTTATTAATTCTCTGGATCATATTTTTATAAAACCATCTATACCCTTATTAAGTATTGAATAGTTAAAGGAATTGATGTACATAAAATGGTACCCACATATCCTGATGTCATCTCTGTTATGAAAGCTTCCCCCCTCTAGTACTGCCATAAACACTTTGCTGGCACTGAATATTTAATGTCTTGAATTATAGTTATTGGAATAGCTATCTTATTCTGACCTCTAGATTGTCCTTCTTTTACTCACCTTTATAATTCTGTAATATTTAGCCAGTGCTTCCTGCAAGGAAGGTCTTTACTAACTGAATGTGGAATCAAATTTAAGTGAATTGAGTGCAGGCCTGAGAGTCAGAGCTGGAGTTTTTGGTTGTAGTCCTGGCCCAGTCACTGGAAAGTTGTATTACCTGGCTAGTCATTTCTTTGAGCCTTGGTCTTCTCCTCTCCCCCTTATCTCTCCCGCTTCCTCCACTGTCATCATTTGCTATCCTGTCCTGGACTTTGTTACCCTCTGTGTTCTTTACGGTAACTGCACTGTACTACGCTATACATTCCCATGTGGCAGCGTGGCAGCAGGTACTGTTTTGTTTTCTTTTTATTTTCTTTTGTGATGGAGTTTTGCTCTTGTTGCCCAGGCTGAAGTGCAATGGCGCCACGTCGCTCACTACAACCTCCACCTCCTGGGTTCAAGCGATTCTCCTGCCTCAGCCTCCCGAGTGGCTGGGATTACAGGCATGTGCCACCATGCCTGGCTAATTTTGTATTTTTAGTAGAGACAGAGTTTCTCCATGTTGGTTAGGCTGGTCTCGAACTCCCGACCTCAGGTGATCTGCCCACCTCGGCCTCCCAAAGTGCTGGGATTACAGGCGTGAGCCACTGTGCCTGGCCGTACTGTTTCCAGACACATTATTTTATTTAATGTTCATAACTTGACTGGGTGCTGTAGCTCACACCTGTAATCCCAGCACTATGGCAGGCTGAAGCAGAAGAATTGCTTGAGGACAGGAGTTCAAGACCAGCCTGGGCCACATAGTGAGCCCTTATCTCTACAAACAATTTAATAATTAGCTGGGCATAGTGGTATTTGTCTGTAGTCTTAGCTGCTCTCCAGGCTGAGGAAGGATTGCTTGAGCCTGGGAGTCTGAGGCAGCAGTGAGCTAAGATCGTGCCATTGCCCTTCAGCCCGGACAACAGAATAAGACTCTATCTCAAAAAAAAAAAAAAAAGAAAAAAAGAAAGAAAGACTGACTCATAATCTACGAGATCTATGAGATGGATATGGATATAATAAGCTCTACTTCTCTACTTTTCAGCTAATAAGACAGGCTGGAGGAAGAGTGAGAGTTGCGTCTAAGGCACTAGTAAATGGCCGAATATGGATCTGAACCTAGATCTGTATGATGTCCTATGTACTCTGGTTATTACTGAAAAATGACTTTCGATTAGAATTATTTTGAGAAAGCCCCACTCTAATTTATTATACTCAAGCTAGTATACCCCTCTGAACTAGTATAGCATGTAAACTAGTATACATCCTCTGCCACGCAGTGGCTTTGCGCTGTAATCCCAGCACTTTGGGAGGCTGAGGTGGGCGGATCTACCAGCCTGGCCAGCACGGTGAGACCCTGTCTCTACTGAAAATACAAAAATTAGCTGCGCGTGGTGGAGCGCACCTATAATCCCAGTTACTTGGGAGGCGGAGACAGGAGAACCGTTTGAACCCAGAAGGCGGAGGTTGCAGTGAGCCAAGATCACTGCCACAATCTTAGCTCACTGCTGCCTCAGACTCCCAGCCTGGGCAACAGAGCGAGACTTGGTCTCAAAATAAATAAATAAAATAAAAATACATAAATAAATTAAAACAAAACAAAATAAAATAAACTAGTACACATTCTAAACTAGTAGTACACTCCTCCAATGCATAAAAACAGAAACAACACCTATAATTATCAGTAATTGTTGTTGTGGATCCAAGTATCTATGTAAGAAGCAAAAAGCCCACAGCAACAGTTGTTGTCATCGTGGTCACAAACTTAATTAGTGGGTAGAAATGTCTAGTGCTGCAGCCAAACAGCAGTAGGAGGAGCCTTTCCCATGACTGAGTGGAAGGAGGGAAACCTAGACTATTTCTGGGTCTGCCTTGCTGAGCTTTCTCTGCCGCCTTGGGCAAGTGACTTTGGCCCTTGGTCAATGTCCTGGAGTAAGATGGGGCTAGCACCACTGCACTGATTTGCTGGGACAGGTGGTGGAAAGTGGTGGTCCAGGGCTGGGAGAGGAGAGGAAGGGCAATGTTTCCTAGGAGAAACTGCACTATGCTGGGGCAGCTGTGGTGCTGCAAAGCGCTGGGAGTGTGGCAAGCGGACGAACCTCGTGTCTTGTTTCCTTGTTTTAAGATTGGAGGTGGAATGGGATGGATGGTCAATCGCCAGCTCTTCCAGCTCTAAGTGCTCAAGTTCTGCGCCAACCCAGGGCAGCTTGATTGCTTTCACGTCCCTTGGAAATAACTGGCAAAAAAGAATTTCACATAGTCTGGAACGGGCTTGGGACAGGGACCACTCTTTGCTGACATTTGTCATTCTTACGTTTATTAAGGAATCATAGTCCATAACTAAGACAAAATGAGCTTCAGTTACGTTCCCTAACTCGGATCACGTTCCTTCAGAACTTCTCAAGCCCGCATGTCACTCATTGCGGAGTCGGAGACTTCCTCGGGGTTCAGGCGTCTGCGTTAAGCGCGGGCACACCGTGGGGATTCCCGCGTGAGATTTCTCCGCGGCGTCAGAATAGGCAGTTCACGGATTCGCGTTAGGATTGCTTATGCTGCAGAACTTGAAAGAAATAAATGTATCAGAATTGCGATGTTTAAGGTCTAATCTATTTAAGTGGGTGGGTCAGCGGAGGGTCAACAGGAAACTTCAAGGTAAACAGTGACCTCTGCAAAACGCCCGGTCGCTCACAGCTTCCCCACTGCCTCCCCAGAGCAGACTATTAATTCTTGCGTTTCAGGCAGAACTGCCGCTGCCCGACCCTGCAGCCGAGCTAGGGAGCGGGCAGGGCAGAAACCCAGCGGAGCAAGCCGCAGGCTCGAGTCCCCGAGGGCAGAGAGGCTCGGGCTGGAGCCTCCGGGGCGATGAGGAGGGGACTCGCCGCGCTGAGCAAAAACTGCCTTCCCCGGGAGCGCCTGCACCCGAAACCCTCCAGTCCAAGGAAGGGGATTAAAAGTGACAAAGGAAAGGGAAGGGGGGG